TTTTTTTTTTTGTTTTTTTTCTTTTTTTTTTTTTTTTTTTTTTTTTTTTTTTTTTTTTTGAACCCATCTTGTCACTCATTGTCATACTCGATATCGTATCTTTGCAAGTGAATCTTGACGAGTGCTACGACAAAATTTTGTTCGCTTCGTTTCGGTCCAAGTTCGGAACGACGTCGGGCTTTTTCCATCTTGCGATAAATAATTGGCGACCGAGTGCAGCGCGTTTTATTTTCTGTTCATACCATTCGTGCTAAGATCGAGAAAGACTTTGAAAAAAAAAAAGGAAAAAAAAAATGGCATAGTTGCTTGAATCTGTTTATCCTGTGTTCTCGCACATTTTCCGTTCTGTACCCCGTAGTTAACTTATATGCGTATACATATGTATTTTTTTTTTTTTTTTTTTTTTTTTATAAATTTATTTAAATCGATTTACTTTTGACTACGTCGAAGTGAGCCTTACCCACGTTTTGTATGATTTTCCACGATACAGCTGGCCTGACCGAGGTGATTATCTACAGCTCGCCGGATGACAAAAAGAAGAACAGAGGCTTCTGCTTTCTGGAGTACGAGTCTCACAAGGCAGCCTCCTTAGCTAAGCGGAGGCTGGGCACTGGCCGAATCAAGGTCTGGGGCTGTGATATCATAGTTGACTGGGCCGATCCTCAAGAGGAGCCTGATGAGCAAACCATGTCCAAAGTAAGAGTCGCGGCGAGCGCAAGCTCTTCTTTTCGTGTTTTCGGTATGTTCAGGTTGGGTATGGACGAATGTAGTTGAGGTGTGGGTTTTTGGCATTTTTTATATAAGGCGGTAGACTTTTTTTTTTTTTTGGGTAATTCTCAAATACTCTTGGTCGAAGCTCGAGACGCTGTCCAGCAAGTTGTACCTTGACTTATGGGAAAAGGACTAACGGCCAATGATATATTGTGCTGGGTCCCTTTTGTGCCTTCGTACTCGTGCAACCTCAGTGGTTAGAGTTTCGCTCGATCTGGAATAAAAGGAGGATCTTATGTCTCCAGGTACGCGTGCTATATGTAAGGAACCTGACACAAGACTGCTCAGAAGAGAAACTGAAGGAGGCCTTCGAACAATATGGGAAAATCGAGAGGGTGAAGAAAATCAAGGATTATGCCTTCGTTCATTTTGAAGATAGGGATAATGCTGTTAAGGTACGAAGACCTTTCTTTTTTTTTGTATAATATTTTTCTTTTTTCTTTTTTTTTTTCCTGCATTCACGTAGCTAATTCGCGCTTGATTACTTAGGCGATGCGCGAACTTAATGGGAAAGAGATCGGCGGCTCCCATATAGAGGTGTCGCTTGCGAAACCTCCGTCCGACAAGAAGAGGAAGGAAGAGATCCTGCGGGCCAGGGAGCGTAGAATGATGCAGACCATGCAGGGACGCAGCGGGTAATTTTTTTATTTTTATTTTTATTTTTATTTTTTTTTTTTATGTCTTTGATATCTTGCCTTCGAGCGTGGCTCTTCTTGGGTGTTTGTTTGTTAATTTTATATTTGATTCGTTGTTCACAGGGGCTCTCCGTTACATGCTAGCATGCTGGGGGGTCCGATGCCAGTCCGTGGGCCTGGTCAGGGGCCCCGCGGAACTGGCGCGGGCATGCGGGGACCAATGGGACGTGGCGATTATGGTAAGTAACCCTCACCCACTCCCCCTCAGTCGCGACCCGTACCATCGTTTACTTACAGTCTTTCGTTTCACTAGCTTATCCGCACGTTACCGTATACCTTGATGGGAGTCTCTTGTAAGGCGCTTCCGGTTGTATCTTTATTAGGAAGTCGAGTTTGGCGGGAAAGTTTGTTTTTCAAAAAAAAATTTTTTTTTTTCTTTTCTTTTCTCTATAACAAGGCGATTTGGAACGGGATCGATCGTCGCGCAAGAATTAATTTTTAACGATTGGTTACAGTAACTTGCGGATATTTTATACGTGACCCCTCACCTTTGGCATTTACGAGATTACGTCTTTCTGTACTAAGAAAAAGGAAAATCAAAAAAAAGAAAATGTAAAAATCGTTTGTCGCGATCGTTTTTTCTGTCAGTACCCAATAGGTCTGTCGTGTCGCGAGATAACAGCGCGCGATTTTGACTCGAGTTGGTTTCTTGTTATTTCGAGTGTTTTTTTTTTTACTTACCATTTCTGCTGTTATCTTGACAATTAGAAGAAAATTCATTGTCTAGATACTCGGATGATAACATGTTTTTTTTTTTTTTTTTGACACGTTCTCGCACAGTACCTAGAACGGTTGTTCAATTGTTTTTTTTTGTTTTAGTTGCCTTTTTTTCTATTCGTTCTCGCTTGTCTCCGTTTTTGAATGATCGTACGCGGATAATTTTTTTTTTCTTTGGTACAGTCATCGTCAAATTTTCAGGTTCATTAATGTGTAAAAACCCTAATCGAATATATTTTTTCGAGTATAGGATTCGAAGGTCCTGGCTCATTGGCATTGATTTCTTTTCTTCCCCCTCCCGTGATTACAGATCGACCAAAAAAAAAAATGGCAATTGCCAATTCATTCCTTTACTTTGGACATGTTATTCTCTGTCCCTTATTCTTTTTTTTTTTTGTATATATACTTTTTTCATTTTTTTTTTTTTTTTTTTTTTTTTCTTCAATTCTTCAATGAATTATACATAACACAGATATATGTCCCGCATGCCTTTGGGGATTTTCTTCACTATCTCACTACATACCTTGGCTTACGCGCATGATAGGCAACTTTGAAAAGTGTGAATATTATAAAACTTAGCCGAGACTTTTTTTTTTCTTTGCGAAGGACACTCGCAGTGCCAAGCAGGATTTTACGAACACGTATCTCTTCATTACATAACATCCCTTCGCTCCTCCGCATCCCAGTACGTTTCCTATTATCGTTTCACGTCTAGGATGATAACGTAGAAATTTCGCTCAATCGCGCGAGTTTCCCGAAAAAAAAAAAATCACGCGAATGAGAATCCCTTGGTTCAGTCGGATAAAAAAAAAAAAAAAAATTCCCAGTCTTACGAATTTTTTCAATTTTTTTCTCTTTAATTATACGTTCCTTCGACGTGCATTCTCGCGTAACATCGTTTACGAGTCGGAGCGACTATGTGGAAACGTGTTAAATTTTAAATGGAAAAAGTTTCAACATAATTCGAAAGGTTGTAGTGAGAAAGTGGCACGAAAAATTTGTTCAACTTTTATTTTTCTTCAAAATGTCATTTCATTGATTCGCAATGAAAAATTTTTTTTTTTTTTTTAATTTCCTTTTCTCGTTTCTCATTAACTACGTACTACCAGGGTACATATCGGACGAGATTCTTTCACTCTTTCCTTTTGTTCTCGCGTTACGTTCGGAACGACCAAAGCACGAGGAAAACCATTTCATATTTCCCGCCTTTACGAGTAATCCGCGTGCCCGCGCAATTTTTCGAAGAATTGTGGGTCGGTGGCGTGTAACTTTTTTTTTTATTTATTCATAATTCTGTGTGTATGTGCGTGCGTGTACATGTATATATTACGTCATTATTAAGTATATATAGCAGTACCTTTGTTACCTTACCACTACCACTTCCTGTGTCACCCGTTATACAGAGGATAATCGAAGAAATTCAACTCTCTCTTTCTGTCTCTCTCTCTCTCTCTCTCTCTCTATATATATATATATATGTATATATATATATTTCTAGATCCCTACAACGACCATACCCCCCGTTGCATGCGTATCGTTTGTCTCTTTTTTTTTTCTTGCACTTACAGTTTGGTACCCCTGATGGTAACATAATCCGAGTGGCAAATGTAAATTTGTTTTTCTGCCAGTATTTTCAGGGATAGTCTTTTCTCGTCCCCCCCCCCTTCTTTTCTCTTTGTTTTTTTCTTATTTTTATTTATGTTCTTTCTCTTTACTTTCCTATCTTCCTTCTCCTAATCTCAGTACCACCCTCCCCTCCTACTCCTCTTCAAACAAACCTCCTCACCTCAGTGTCCCGGTCGTATCTACGACTTCACTGACTATTTCCCCTTGCGCCCAGCTGCCAGGTTCAACTCTGTCTTCCTCCCTTATCCCCTCCCAGCGTTGTTGTTCTTGTTGGGTTGTTTTTTTTTTTTCTTTTTTTCGTCGGATCATCACATACATATATACATACATATTATCCTTTGCGTTATACCGTATCTCGTTTTTTTTTCTTTTTTTTTTCTTTCGATCGAACAAGCCTGTCCTCTTTTTTTCTTTTCTCTCTCTCTCTCTCTCTCTCTCTCTCTCTCTCTCTCTCTCTCTCTCTCTCTCTCTCTCTCTCTCTCTCTCTCTCTCTCTCTCTCTCTCTCTCTCTCTCTCTCTCTCTCTCTCTCTCGTTGCCCCCTTTCCTTAATGTGAGCGTGTTGGTTGGTTGTTAGTCGAAAGGATATCATTTGAAGTAAACATTATTATGTAACACGTACGAGTGTCCTTTGTGCATCAACGATTGAAAAAGTCAAAAATCTATTTTACAGCTCTCAAGGACATAGGTAAGCCGCGACTTATGAGAATGACGAATGCAAACGTAGAAGTAATCGTATACGTACAACATATATATATATATATACATACATATATACACATATTATCTCCTCGATAGTACGTTGTCATCGTTATTGTTGTTATTATTATCGTTATTATTATTATTATTGATTGTCGGTAATAGTGTTGATTCTTATAGTTTTGTCTTTCTTTTCTTTGTCTCTTCTCTTTTTACCATATCTTCTTTCTTTCTTTCTCTTTCGTCGTTGTTCTGTTTTTTTTTTTCCCCTTTGTTTACTCTTTATAACACACGTATATGTATATATATATTCCGTTAATTTTATCACTCTCTCGGAACGGTGATAACTTGTTGTTATTGTGGTATTGGCGCGTTCGATCGTATATACACATATATATGTATATGTATATATATCGGAATAAACGAGATCGTCGAAAATTCATGCTACGTACTCGGGTATTCATGCTCCCTTCTTTCTCGTTGAATTCGTCTAAAAAGATGTGTCTGTCGTGGGCAGTACGACAACGGGGTACCACCAAGCCATTTGCATTGGCAGGCTTTTCGTTGGGCGTAAGCTGCTTCCTCGTAGCGCGAGTAACACGTTCGGGTTGAAACGTTTTTGCGATTAAAATCGCGAAAGCCGAGCATCGATATATCGAAACTCGGATATCGAGGTATCTGACTCTCGAATACCATTCGAGCAAGCGATTTTCGACGATCCCCGTAAAACAATATATACGTATTATGATCAGGATGTGACGTATGGTGGTAGGGTAATGATTTTTGTAAAAAAACATTTTTTTTTTTTTTTTTTTTTTTTGTTCTCTCTTTATATTAATTTGAAACCTGCGCGATACGCATATATATGCATACTATCGATGCGGTAGATTAAATGAATTCTGTCTGACTCTCCTACGTACATACGTGTGGCCTCCGCTGTGCGTATGCACGGGGAAGGGACGTGTACCCGACGAAATACGATATATCGATGTCAATTATCGAACCACGATTTCTCGTGTTTCTCGGGCAGTACATGGGAATTTGAGGGAAAAAAAAATTTATCTTTTTTCCGGCATGCCCTGGTTTTTTTTTTTTTTTCTTTGTTCACGTGTGTGTATATATATAGCTCTTTTCTTCGACGTTTACGTATAACGAGGGGCGGGAGGGGGAATATCGTGTATATCTGTTTTGTGTTTTTAATTATCTCGACCCTCGCATATACGTAAACTTTACTATATATATATACATATACATATATATATATATATATATACACACACACACAACTTTTTTTTTGTTTTCCTCTTACTTGGTTCGTTCTGGTTCGTTGTTGTACTCTCTTCTTCTCTTGTTGAGTATATAAGCTGCCAATTTGGATAATATCGTGGCTAAACTTGGGTCTATTTGTAATGTGTGTTTTTATAGATTATGATTACGACTATTACGGTTATGGGGATTATCGAGGTGGCTACAGTGATCCATATTACGATGACTATTATCGATACGAAGATTACTATTTCGATTATGCGCCGCCTCCGCCACCTGCCAGAGGGAGAGGCAGGCAGCCTCAACCGGTGGGTCGCCTTTTTTAATCGTTTTAAAGTCGTTTCTTCGTTCTTGAATTCATATATATATATTATTATTATTTTTTATTTTTTTTTTATTATCTCTCTCTCTCTAAATATTCTCTGACAATATGCGGTAGTTTGATTGTGGCACAGTGTTCGCGGAACTCATATATATATATATATATTAAACCCGTCCTCTCTCCCCAAGTCACTCATTCATTGTCTGCTGCCATTCGCTGTTGGTGTCGACATGTATTCTCATTAATTTTTTTTTATCTTTTTTTTTATCGTCATTGAAACCGCCCCTTTAATTTTTTTTTGTACACACTCTTATTACATACCGCCTCGGCGGTCTTAGCTGTTTTTTTTACATGTCTGGTATATCGATTGTCTCGATACGCTATTTTTTCTCTCTCTCTCTTTCTCTCTCTCTCTCTCTCTCTCTCTCTCTCTCTCTCTTTACACTGTTATCAAAATTCTCCTTTTTTTTTTACAATTCCAAAGCCATACGCAATAAGTGTATGCCTTCACTCACACAATTCGTGGCCTGTGCGTGTGTACGATTAATCATACGGCTTTTTTTTTTTTTTTTTAATTAACCTTGTGCCGGCTTATCACCAATTAATCGTTTAAAAATTAATCGATACTAATCGCTGTACTGTATATATTGCTAAAAAAAAATGTTTTGTTTGAAAAAAAAAAAGAAAAAATCTGACATTTGCGGATATCGTCTACACGTTGGGACGTACCTGGGTCCGTTTGCCTGTGTACTGAATATTAATATGAATATTAATATATCTTATACGTGCGTCTTACAATGATAATTGTATTCGGGGCGGATGCGACAACGAGACGTTTTACTTGTATTTTGCTGCGAGAAATTTTTTTTTTTTTTCCCTTATTACGTATACTCGTATTGGCTTATTATTGCGTTTCGTCGTCGCAGTGCTGTCTGTTCGTGAGTTGAAAAAAATGTTGTTTCCTCTATTTCGCTCTGTCTTGTATCATCATTATTTTCTTTTTTTTCTCTCTCTCTCTCTCTCTCTCTGATCGATCATCGTTCATACAATTCATTGCACCCCGGGTACACCGGTTCGGAATGATCCTTGACTCGCTCCGAGTATTGTAATCTGTTGCCGCACCCGCCTAAAGCGATATCCACGACTGTCTTTATTGCCACGACTAACTCGTCTAACCCGAACACGTTGCCACTGTCAAATTGCTTGCCAAAATCATATCTGAGCCATGGTTAGACCCATTCGAAATTATCTCTAAGTCAAAATTGAAGTCAGGTACAGAAAGAAGAGGTATCGTGGAGACGGTACGAGAAAAAAAAAAAAAAAAGAAGGAACGGAAAAAGGAAAGAAATAAAAGGAGAAGAAAGACAGAAAGAATTGAACGTACGAAGAGGAAGGGACGAGTAAGATGAGAATGTAAGATGGGCGAAACTGATGAAAACGGTGCTTGGGGACTATGTGGGGGGCACGTTGATGCTGGTAGGAGATGCGAGAGTGACCGGAGGGAAAATTATTGAGTGCGATAAGGGAGGAGAGTGGAGAGACGAGGATGGAGAGAGAAAGATAGGAATTTGAGAAAATCGAAATCGAAACTTTTCTCGATTCACGTTTACAACTCCGTGATCTCGTTGCACCGATTTTTTCTTCGTGTTACGATTTGTCTTTGCTTCTCTTTTTTTTGTGTGTTCTACCTCTCTCTCTCTCGCTCATCTCGTCTAGCAAATTTTGCTAGAGTGCGGTAGACTCGACTCTGGAGGTTCTTGTCGTGTCGAGCGAGGAGGCACGTGGTAGACGTGGGTAACGATTTGAAGAAATGGAGAAAAGAAAGGATAAGGAAAGGAATCATCGTGACGAAAGGAACGAACGGAGGATACGAATGAGTTACGTGATGACACGGAGGTTCGAGGCGAATTATAAGAATGATTTTTTTTTCTTTTCGTTTCCTTTTTGCTTCATATTTTTTTTTTTTACTTACACATTCAAGAGAAAGAAAAAGATTTTTCTCCTTAAAGTTTTTTTTCGTTCTCAACATTTTCTTGGAGCGACGTTGCGTCTCGTGGCTCGGATATGATGTATCTTTCTTCTTCTTCTTCTTTTTTTTTTATGCCAAATTACAGGGTTTTCCAAAATACGAGAGCCTTGGACAACCTGTGAACGTCATTTAGGACTCTGCCGTCACTTGTCTATCTGTCCTTTTGTTCATTTTTTTACATATAGTCTAGATATATGTATATTTTTATTTTCTCTCTCTCTCTCTCTCTCTCTCTCTCTCTCTCTCTCGTAAATCGTTCGATTGCGATAAACTTACAATCCCGTGGAACAATTTATTATCGTTTGCATAACTACGTGAATCCGTTAGAAGAAAATGAAAAAAGAGTAAATCGCAATCGACGATTTGCCGCAAAGAACGGCGAGTCGAGTCCAACGGATTGGAAAAGAAAAGAAAAGAAAAGAAAATAATAAGTACGAGAAAAAAGATTGGGTACAGTGAAGAGGAAAAAGAACACGTATTAAAAAAAAAAGTCCCATTTTCAAAAAAAAAAAAAAAAAAAATCGAACGAGCACCAAGAGCTGACGTGTCGCCCTCTTAAACGGTCACGTGTATATTTCGAAAAAGAGACGAAAAAAAAGATAGTTTCAGCCGTGTTATCACGATATCGCGCCTAGTTGTATATACACATACCGACAGTTTCCATGGACAGAAAAGGGAATGAGATAAGGAGACACATGACATATATATTATTATAAACAATATTATTAATGCTAATGATAATTAGAATAATAGTATATAATATTTACTGGTGGGTTTAGTACCAGTAGGACAAAGGACACGTGTCACGGCCTTATCGCTTGCTTCGGGTTTTTATTTGTTGCCGCCGTAACGTACGTAATACACGACGTATCCGAGTGCTCAACGCATTATCCCCGTAATACATCCATACGCGTTGTACGTTGCATTACGGGTACGCGTTTATTACGCTTTCCGCACTAGAAACGCTTTTACGCTTAAAATATATTATTTTGCTGCTGTTGGCCGCCCTGTCTTTTTTTTTTTGTTTTGTTTCACGCTTTTTATCATTATACATATCTCTCGATTGACTTTGTTGTTCTAGCTGCCGGTGCAGTAGCTTGTGTCGCTTAAAGTACCTTCGCCAAATCACCAATCCGGCCCGCTTTACGCTTTACCACTTTGGATAACTCTGCTAACTCTGCTGCTGTGTGTAAAGAGATTTTGGTTAGTAAGGATTTGGTCCTAGGTCAACAACACCGGACAACAAAAAAAAAAAAAAAAAAAAAAAA